TCTCACACCTGCTAATGCTACAGTATATCCACATTAACACATCAAGGAGCAAACAGGCTGTAAATGAATGCTGTAACATGTTTGTGTTTGTTTATAACTAACTTTAAAGTAAGGATAAACTGTTTTGTAAACTTTTAACTTCATCTTGGGAAATGAATTCGGAAATGTATTAAAGACAAACAACCTTAGTGTCTTCCATAATTTAATCATTATAAAATGTTTTTACAGTACAAAAATGAACATAAATAATTCAAAAATAAGCAGTTAAGGAAGTACATAGGCTTATAATGTTACAATGCTAGAAAGAGGCAAATCACAGTCGCCCAAGAGATAGTCTCTTTTCAGGGTGGACATTTTGTTCACCACTTTGAAGCGAAGAGACCACTGGCTGAGGTCTTCCTCTGAGATACCATCAAAGAAGAAATCCTCATTGAAGATTGGATTGCGGCTTTTTTTGATGACTGTGCTACGTTGCTTATGGACTTTTCCGGGAACCAGAGAGAGGCTGACGCTGCAGTTGATAATCTTGGGGTCCACAGAGAGAGGATAGAGGCCCTCAGCGCTGATCAGTCGAACCCGTAGTCTTTGGTTATCTGCACAGTACTCTGCTGAGAGTCTCAAGCTTGGGTACCATTATTTCCTTCATTACCCTCTCTCTGTGTAGAATAAAGTCCACGGGAAAGATGTTGGGTGGTACCAGGCTGTAGCTGCTGGGCAGGCATTCAGCTAACCCTTCTGATGACCTCCTCATGACGCTGGGGCTGTTATCTGTGGAGCTGCCTTCATCTGTGGACAGGGAATTGTTCCTGGACACTACTGTCTTCCTCATGCTCCTCGAAAACAGCAGTTCATGGCTCAGTGCTTTGAAGAGGGAAGGTTTGGCAGGGCACCTGGTCAGCAGTGGCGAGTTGAAAGGAGAGGATTCAGTAGAAGAAGTCGTATCGCTATCTGGTGTTGCCTGCCCGTTCAGGGTGTAGCTCCCTAGGGAAAGCTTGGAGGTCAGAGTGTTAAGGCTGAATGAGGAAGGGCAAGAGGAGGGTGAGGTGGAGGGGAAAACTTTGGAGCACGTGCTGGATCGACTCCTGGAAAGCAGCAGCGGAGAGCAGCCAGGATCAGAGTGGAAGAGTGACTCCTTCCTCCTGGTGTGGGGGCTCTCCAGTAAGGTGCAAAAACCATAGCAGGTCTGAGCTTTGGCCAGGTGTGGAAGGGACAAGGCAGCCTGGCTTTGGGGATCCGCGTTGGTGGTCTCCTCATCACTGCAGCCATCATAGGGGCTCTCATCTACACTCTCCACCTGGATAATGTGTCGGTTGAAAGGCTCATGGTGTGTCACTTTTTCTACAGGGCAAGCCCTCTCACATGGCAACGCTTTGATAACGCTAGCAGCGACTCGACTCTGCTCCGTATTCTTCAGCTCTTGCAGGGATGGGATTGTTGGGGGGATGCAGAACTCTGGGATGTTGTCAGGGGTGATGACATTAGGACAGAGAGAAATCCTTTTGGCTTTGTCTGCTTTTTCTCCAAACATGACGTCACCAATTTTAAAGCTGAGTTCTGCTGCTGAGTTAGAGAGGTTAGATCTCTCCACAGACACACGGATCTTCTCCACCACCCACATGGATCCTTTGACAGAAATATACAGTAAAAACTCTGTTAAAACAAAGCAATGTACCTGAAGGCCAATGCATTTTTATCTAATTTGAAACACACATACAGTGCAAACAATTCCAGTGTACTACAAGTTCTGCCGAATGAGTAATGCCACTATCACTGCAACTCAGATGTTTGAGAAACATCAGAAAGTCTACAACAGTTAAAGAAAATTGTGTCATAATATTTACAATGATTTACTTTGTAGGAAGGTTTTCTTACCTTGTGTTCTGATGATATGGATAAAACTCAAAGTTGTCCAAAAACAGGACAAACTGATAGCTCCAGCTAATTGTTCAGGCTGTGACAGCAGACAGTAGATGGAGGTTTGCTCTTGTCTGTGGCTGTTTGGGAAATGCAGGCAGTTTAAGTGAAGCAGGAAACCAATGACTCGAACACCCGCCCCCCTGTAGAGCTTCTCTCTCTCTCTCTCTCTGTCTCTTGCCACTGGTTCCCATGGAACTATCCAAACCAAAACAGAGTTCAGTGCCCCTGTAGTAGCCTCTGTATTGTTTAGCAAGATAAAGTTACTACTTTGAAACTGTATCTAAACAAACAGGCTTTCACTTCACGTTTGCTTTTCCATTCACTTAAATTAGATGGTGTGTTTGACCTTGTTCTGTGAAGATAAACGAGGTGACCCGATAAGATACTGTAATCATTCTGAACTATTTTAGAACACATGAAGTGCCATTAACCTTAAGTGGAAAACATTGCACAGGCAAAGCTGGAAAAGTTTTAGTTTAGAAGCACCACTATAAGGGTCGGGCAGGTCTCTCTTTAAAAGGTGTTTCACTGAAAATATGGTTAATAACGTGCTACTGAAGCCCTTGAGATACTGATATAAATGTGGTGTATTCTATCTGCTTATTCCAGTACCTGACTGATGCTATATCACATTTAGTTTTCAAATAAATAATACACATCGTAAATAGATAGATAGATAGATAGATAGATAGATAGATAGATAGATAGATAGATAGATAGATAGATAGATGCAGTAATAAATAACTGAGTTGCTGTGAAATACAAATGTTCCATAAAGATGGCTGCCAGTTGTAATAATGAATACATAACAATAATATGTGCAATATTTATAATGACAGCTTAGCCTGAAGGAACTATTAAATGAGCTGCTAAATTGAGTGTATACACCTAACTTCTTCAACCAGCAGGCTGTCATTACTGAAGAACTGCAGTGCCTGTAGGGCACAACAGAGATATACTTTATGAAAAGTAAACATCTGTGTTAAAAACAGCAGCTTAGGTCTCCGATCTTTAGTGAAACACTGACATGTCAGTGCTGCCCTCTTGTGGTGGGACACGACACAAGGCGTAATTTTGATAGTCTTGCATTGGACACCTATAATCTGGCAGTTTCTGCAATTGCTTGTTTTTGTTTTTCAACACATACTTAAACAGTACATCTGACAAAACACAAACCTGCCTGGTTTGGTATGTTTGACTGCAACAAGGTCAGTTGTTTTGGTTGTTTTGATTTTTGGCTTTTCTTCACTCTTGAAAAGTGGTAAGGGAAAGTGGAGGGATCCTGTTAAAAAGCCCCACTTTACACAGGACAAGGGTCAAGTGGAGAAACTTGGCTACCATGTGTTTCCAGGCACTAAAGGACAGAATGATGTCAGTGCTAACAATGTACCGGGAAAGTGTCCTAAATAGGGTACTTCTCAGAACTGTTTGTCACAATGTTCAGGTCAGTGCAGCTCTTAAACCTCTTGAACTCTTGAACAAATCAAAGTGCACCAATATGATGAATTTGGGATCAGTTTTAAAGATGGTGCGTGACAATAGTACACAGACAGAAAAAGAGTGATACATGCACATGTCAGAATCATAAATACAGTTTTACCAAATTTAATACATCATGTAACAATCAGTTTAATTTTCAAAGTCCAGTGTTGTCTGCCTTGTCACCAACAGCAGATGTAAGGAACTAGCTCAGCATTTTCTGAGTTTCAGAATAAAGGAAGTGGGAATCAAGCAAAATATTTTGAGTACCCATAGACTCAGGGAAACAGATGATCAAGCCTTTTATATTTGTTACATACATGACATACATGTGGCAACAGATCAAACATGATTGACAGCATCCTGCACTGTCTTCATTTTGCATGGGTGGTTGCTTAGCTCCATTAGGGGGCAGTATATGTTTAGAAACCAACAGAAACACCCACTGGAATGACAAAACTGAGAGGGTTGTGTTAGGCTTAGGGGACATAAAATATACTCTTATTATTACACAGAATTACAAGACCGAATATCCGACCAAAATGATATCTGAAATGCTAAATTAGATTAGGTCGCGTGGTTTGTGAATAAAAATTAAACTTGAAAAAACCCTCCACAACAGCCATGTATTAATTTACATACAGTTTTCCAGATGGCATTTGTTTGAAATGCACCGCTGGTGTGTTATAGTCATCTGTAGACAGGGCACCCCCCCATGTGCCATCGATCTGGAGCCAAAGTGGGGGAAAGCACTGCGATTAAACCTGACCCCCACTGATGGTTGGCTCCCTGACACGCTTTAGGCAGGTGTATTTCACTGCACATTTTCAAAATAAGAGAGAAGTCATTCAAATGTTTCCTGCCTTCATCTTTCTCATGTCTATTTGATCTATCAGGGTTCCCCATCCAAGTCAAAAGCTAGTCTTAAATCTGTCCTGATCCTGAACATCCTAATGATTTGACATCATGAGTGAGCGTGACGCCGCTTCCTTTTCTCGTCGACTAGATATGTGGTGGTTTTTTTGCTTTTCTGCTTTTCCCCATCTCTCTCCACTGTAAGATAAACGAGGAGGGGCTTGGTGCCTTGGAGGAGGCAGGCAGGCAGAGCTGGCCCGTTCGCGGTGTGTGTCGCTTATCCTAGGCAGCTCGCATGCATTAACGAGTGACAGACATCAGGTAGGATTTCGCCTTCGTTTTTTCTTAGATGTTATGCTGTGTCTGCTAAACCCCGGCGCTGTTCCTCCCAACAGGGCGCACCACAGAGAGGCGGACCGCTCGGTGTTGGCTCAGCAGACGCGCTGAAAACAATTCATATTAACAGCATGCAGACGACCTTTTCACACGATTAGCGTGGGGTGTTCCACTATACCTCCTCCTTACTCTCCTTTGGATTTAACATCAGCCGATTTGCTTCATCTGGTGCGTTATTATAAGCCTGTTAACCCTGTTTCCTCGCCTAATATGTGACTGACTGACAGATAAGAGGTAATAAGATGAATATTTCCTTGACCTACTTGTTTGATGTTGTTGCTGTATGTGAAATATTTTGGCGTTTGTACCTTGAAGTAGGTTGAAATGGGCAACTAATGCTGCCCCAGCTTCAGAATGCTTGCTGCTCTGCAAAGAAATGTGCTGTCCAGTAACTTGGACTTGACCTGAATGTTATCTGGATAGGCTCAACATCAAAGCTGACAAGGACGATGTGGGGCTGTACTGCGCATGCAGGGACGTAACCAGTGATGATTTACAGCAGGCTGGCAAAAACGTGGGCAGAGGAAAGTCTGTAGTGGACACTTTGGTCATCAAGATATCATTATGGATAGATAGATCACTGCTATTTCCTTGTTCCAAATGGGAAAAGTCCTTTTTACCTGACACCTGCCTACTTGCAGAGATCAGTGTGCACCAGGCTATGTTTCTGTTACTTTCTCCAGCAGGCAAGCTGTGTGCCCTCTGACTGAAGGACATGTCTGCTTAACTGCTAGGCTGCCCTGTTGCCTCATACAGATGCTTATGTGCTACTTGTGGAGATATATTTTATGAACTGTGACATGACTGTTTCACACAGGTACAAGGCAGTAAATGCTACTTCACTGCAGTGACTGGGGGGTTGGTCACTAAAATCATACACATCTTTCTATACACTACATTAATTTGTGGAACAAATGTGTGAGTGCTGGGACGGCTTGCTACGCCAAACCACATTAGCCACACGTCAGCCTCTTTGACATAGTCATTTACTGAGAAAGCTTTTGGCTGCTCCAACCAACAGTTTGAAAAATTTCACCCTGCCATTCTACAGTTTAGAGGAGGAAATTATGCCATTTCCCTTTGAGAGGTATCTGTTATTAAGAGCCAATTAATACTCATAGCATGAAGCGGGTTTAAAACTGATACAGAAGAATTGCATGTTTTACCTGAGTGATGTAACTTGAAAGGTCGAGCTGCCTCAGCACGATGCAGATCAGCTGTGAGTCTTATAATAAGGCACCTCTGACTCATGAGGGGCTTGATTCCAACTGAGTTTAAATATACTCCCTGGTGGTACTGCAAGGCACCAGATAGTGTAAGATAAACATACAGTATCCAGCAAATACATAATGGGAAATTGTATGTGAGCTCATCAGTAGTGTGTTTTAGTCACCACTGATAAAAAAAACAAACATGTTTTTCATTTTAGAAGATGTTTTGTGTTGCACAGTTCTATCATTTAAACACAGCGTAGGTTCCCTCAGTCACTGATGTTTAAAATGTAAATGCAGGATATCTGTATGCTGGCTTGACATAATCCATCTGTCTGAAAAATGTACTGTTTATACAGTGTACATTGTGTCTCAGGCTAAAAACTGCAGGTTGGATATTGATAGTGAGAAATGTGAGGCCTCCCCAAGTTTGCTGCTTTGCTGAAATCTGCTTCAGGTATGACTGATAGATGTCTTAGATCATCACTGTACCTTAATAGTAATTCTAAAGCCATGCAAGTTAACATAAATGTTGACAATTAACCTTAATGTGAACATGTTTTGATTCATGTCTTCAGCATTTTATCGGTAGTCTATATTTTAATAAGCGTGACTGCTTCCTGTTTTTAGGATTTCTATCTCTAGTGTACAGTACATAAGCATATTTTTTAAAAACACAAGTTCTAGGATTACATAGGTTTGTTGTTTGGCTGATTGTCAAAATGCACCAGTAAAGATTAATCTCTGAATTACATAGTGCTGGGAAGCTCTTTGTAAAATGAATTTTTCATATGATGGAATTGAGCTCCATAGGGTTAATGTATTTTTCTTTAGACTAGCCTTAACCGATTTGCTCATTGTGTGTGCGTACGCTATACTGTATGCATGTTTTTGTGTCTTTGGATGGACACACTGTTTACAGTGGAACATTGTACATTCAGATATCTCATTTTATCAAGATAGTGAAGCTGTGAGAATCTCAGCAGTGGTACGCTACACCCGTTGTTTCACAATACCAGTTCTTTGCTTTAATATGGAGGTAGAAACTTTCCCACTCAGTATCTACGGTGAGTACACTTTCCTACAACACAATAAACCGATATAATTAGATCTCACCACTGATGTCACAAGCTCACGTGCAGCATTGATCATCCAGTTGCAACTGATAAAGCCTCACTGTTCCATCAAACAAAATACTAGATGCTATTTACAAGACCCAAGGTTATAAAGCCAAGGTGAGCTTGTGCCAAATGACCTCAGAAAAGTTTAAAAGTTCAAACAAAAGAAGTAGTGTAACATTCTATATGTTTTGTTCTAAGCTTTTGAAATATTAATCACTGCAATTTCCACTTGCTGTGGTAATTAAAACCAAGCACCATTTAAATGGTGCCTTTTTCCCCACTCCTTGCCAGCTATTGAAGAGGCCATTACCACGGTGATTCTGTATTATTGGAAGCTATTAAGGGTATCTCTGCTACAACAACTTTGGGTCACACACTTGGCTTGGCGTCTAATTTACTGGATATCACAAGTCTCAAACACAGTGTTTGAATTCACTCTCATGAAGGGCTTTTAGTCAGTGTTCATTGAAATTCTGCAGCCCAGTGAGAAATAGGCAATCCTCAAACAGTGACATACAGTAAATTATAACAAAACCATGCTTTCACTATTTTGATCCACAAAATGTTGAGAACAAGAAATTGCTAAAGCTAAAGTCTCAACTGTACGTCCATGTTCATTAGCTCATTAGAAAGTGATTTTCCTCTCAGCTGTTACATTTGCTCCATCATCAAGAATAGATTCCTGGTCGGAATTCCCCAGGAAATGTTCAGTCAGAGGGTGGGAAGTAAGGCTTTTAGGAGTCACCGGAGAGTGTGATTGTTGAATCATATTTAATGCATGATTGTGTAGGAGGTGGAAACTAAAACACACCCCATGCTGTTGCTGTGACCCAGCCTTTGTGTGTTGTGTTTACCATTGAAATAGATCTCTCCTATGTATTTTCTCTCTGCTGTCTCTGGTCACAGCCTCTTCAGGGCCTGGCACGCCTCCAGTTTCTGTAGAACAAGAGGTAGATGTATAAGCTGGCCGCCATTCTCACTCCCCCGCTGGTCCATAAATCTGGAATCATACTTTAATGTATTTTTCTTAACAGATGAACGTGACAGACAGTCGATATGTAAGAGCTATAAAGCAGAAGTCAACACTTGATTGTGCTCCAGTGTGCTTTCAGATTTTGAAGTAAGGTTGATCTCTCATAATTAAAGATTTAGTGACATGAGACTGACCTGACTTGTTCAGTATCAATGTTTCCACAGGTCACTCAGTTGTTGATTGTGTAATATGTGGCAGTTTAATGTAATACAGTTGAGACAGCAGTTCTGTATTATTTGGCCTTTCCATTTGTGATTAAATCAGCTGAGCTGTCATCTTGTTTGCAGGATATAACATCATTTATTAATATGATTGCATTAAATGTAACCAACAATAGGTGAAGTGGTACTACATTGAAAGCCAGCAGTGGTGGCTGATACCGTGCATACCAAGTATTTACTGTACATGCGGTATAAACTGATGTGGCCGTGTCAGTGATGCATAAGCAGCAGCTTCAAGAAGTAGGTCAGTAGATGCCGGCGCGGCGTGGTCCAGGCGTGGCAGTGGCACAGCCTGTGGCACTTCTCATCAGCAAATTGAATGAGATGCCAGTGAGAAGTAGAAGACAACAGGTCTGACTGCGCTGTCATGCACACAGTAGCCTCGATGGTTACAGACTGGATGAGTGACATAAAAGAAAGGAGATCTAAGGGCTTTCTGATCACCAGCTGTCAGCTTAAGTAAATAGCTTACTTGTGATTGCCTAGCTGCTTTTGTATATGGATATTTGCAAATTAAATAGGTTGTCAGTTGTTCATTTAATAAATATTCTCATACAGCACCTTTTTATTTGTGTGTGTGTGTGTTTTGAGGTGTTTTGCTAAAGTATCTGACAAAAGCTATATTATTTAAAAATCGTGTGCTATATAGTCTCCTCTGAAAAGGGTTCACAGCTGAACTAAGGCCGTTTTGTTTCTGGCATATCTGGTACTAGGACCATGAGGAGAGGATGTAGATTACTCTTCTTACCTCAGTATTTTTCCCTCTTGATGTGCAAACTGCTGCTTAGGATTTTAATGGTCACAGAATACAAACAACATGCTTTATCACCTGGTTGTCTTTGTTCTGTTACAGTGGCTGCTTGTGCCCAGTGAATAGTCACTTTGTTGCAACCTGCCCAGCTTCTTTTTACACTATTGTAGGCAGTAGTGCTCAGAGTATTTAGCTGTCAGAAATGCTCTCTTTGTTGAGAAGTGTATTTGAAGTTACATTGAAAAGAAGATTGAAAATGTGGGCATTCGCTGTCTTCTGAATTGCTGCATTATGATCCATAAAAGGCGCAATTATTACTCCTCTACATACAGTACACCCTGTATGTTGAGAACTTAAGTTAGTGTACTCCATTTATATTTCTCAGCCTTTAAAGTTGTGTCTGTTTGTTGTTTTGAGGCATTATGACAAAAAAGCGCATTGGAGGCTCTGATAGTTTTGCCACCTTCATCAGCATGGTGATAGTGGGTCGACCAGGAACACAACAGGAACCAGAGGACAGTGACAGTGAGGTAGAGGTCCAAATTATCAAGCCCCTTGCCATTTATCTGCATCAGTGATCACAGGCACTGCACCACCATACAATTAAAACACTAATCGCTTCCTGACATGATGAACATTATTTACACCTATGACACAACTGCTTAACTCACTGACAAAAATCAAACAGCTGTATTTGAAGTCATCTCGGTTTGTGTACAATGTCAGTGATGGGGGATGTCCAGAGGTTGAGAGGCTTGATTTTGGACAGTGAGAGAAAAGGTTAGCTGCACTGGGACAGAGGCGAGATGCAGTAACAGATAAAGAAAACAAAATGTGTTTGCTGCTAAATGGTGCTGTTGATCTTGTTTTAGGGAGAATTGACGGGGCAGTAGTTTCACATCAAGGTTAATTGAGGGCCTTCGGGTCCTTTGTGTGCACAGCAGCTGTCAGGCTGTTTTTGCGACAGCCTCGGGGAAAGGAGCAGCACTGACATTACCTCTATCCTCTGCTTTGATTTTCTGTAGGCCACGAGGGTTGCTGACCAACT